GTCCGTCTGTCCGTCTGTTTCTACGCAAAGCTATCTGCCTGCCTATTGCAAGTAGTATTGCAAATATTGCAATACATTTTTAGTTCTTCGGGATATAGTAATGGTTATATATTTTAGAATTACGGCTTAAATTTCATCAAAATCGGACGACTATAACATAAAGCTCCCATGAAAACAATAAATATATTAAAAAAATAAAAATTTAAACTTTTTTAATATGTATTTTTTTTCAGAAATTTCATTTTGATTATTTAATTATTTGACAGTTGTGAATTATGCTTTTATTTATTAAAATTGGAATTTTATTATTAAAATCGGAAAACGATATCATATAGCTGCCAAAGGAACTATCGAATAATTATGCTGCAAATCATCATAGCTTCAATGTTTTTAAACATTTACGCAAGTAAATCATAATTTTAATGTGTTCAAGAATATTTCGCTTTTGCAATAGCTGTAAGGGTATATGAACTTCGGCTCGCCGAAGTTTGCTTCCTTTCCTGTCCTAATACCTATTCCCATTTATTTTGTGAAACTAAAACGAAATGCTTCCGTAAATGCGACTATAATAAGCCCCACTACTTGATTACCGAATACAACAGGACAATTGCACAATTGCATGTGTATGGAAAGTGCCACTGAATTATTCTATAGCGTTTTAAATACGTTTTTTAATGAATGCGTTCCTGACAGTCTTCCTCCAAGACATAACAGAACTCCGTGGTTTACACAAGAGCTTCAAAGACTTAAAAACCTAAAAACAAATACTTACAAAAAGTACAAAAGGGCGAGCAAGCCATCTGATTTTTATACCCTTGTAGAGAGTATTATAATTTCAGTCAGAAGTTTGCAACGCAGTGAAAGAGACTACTCCGACCCTATTAAGTATATATATTCTTGATCAGCAGATCTAGAAGAGTCGATCTAGCCATGTCCGTCCGTCTGTCCGTCCGCCTGTCCGTCCGTCTGTCAGTCTGTCCGTCCGTTTCTACGCAAACTAGTCTCTCAGTTTTAAAGCTATCTGCATGAAACTTTCCCAAAAGTTGTCTTTTTATTGCAGGTAATATATAAGTCGGAAAGAGCCGGATCGGTCGACTATAGCATATAGCTCCCATAGGAACAATCGGAAAAAAAAATTAAAAAGAATTATAACTTAGCTGTTTTTTAATTTTGTTTTTTTAGTTCTTCGACATATAGTAATGGTTAGTTATTTCAGAATTCCAGTTTAAATTTCATCAAAATCGGACGACTATAGCATATAGCTCCCATAGGAACAATTGTATAGCTGCCATAGGAACTATCGAATAATTAAGCTGCAAATCATCATAGCTTCAATGTTTTTAAACATACACGTAAGTAAATCATAATTAAAACGTTTTAAAGAGTGTTTAGTTTTTGAAATAGCTGCAAGGGTATATGAACTTCGGCTTGCCGAAGTTTGCTTCCTTTCTTGTTTTGTTTAGAAATTCTTTTTTTTTTTAAACTGAAAACCGAAAATAATTTTATCTTGAAGATGGAACATTCACGAATCTAACAAGTTATTAACCTCAACATTAAAAGCTAGTAAAATAAGCTGTCGATGACCGAAATGGGCTAAACAACACTGGAGATACAAAATAAAATTGGCCACTGGAAAAAAACGTTTTATAAACTTTAAAAAAATTATACCAATTTTGAGTGTTATTTTTGAATATGGGAGGTCATCTACACCAGAAAATTAAGGTTTTATCGCTAAAATCTCTGGACGATTTTTCGATTTAAATGAATTGATTCAATGAATTGCAAAATTAGTAATTATACTACGAAAGATTTATTAAGCAATAAAAACCTCGCTGGTTCAATTATTTTGTGTGTGGGTTAAAATTTTAACCCTAAAGATTAAATTTAAATGAAAAGTTTTTGTTTTTTTTTGCATAGCCGACACGAAAAAATTAAATTTTTCTCCAATTAACTTCTTTTGTACCAGATTTTATGATAATAATTAAATTCTACACTGAATTTAATTATTATTATTGGGTGTACAAGTAGAAAACCGCCGTTTTCCACTGGGTGGCGCCACCTTTGGAAATCGGTGAGGGAATTCCGATCAGAAGCATCACATAGCAAGCTTAGGTATCGGTCAACAACTCCACATCATCTCGCTCGTCTATTCTCATTGTCCATTTTTTTGTTGGTGCGCGAATACGTCGAAATTTTAACCGGATAAGCGTCATTTGCGGGAGATTTTGCTTTTCGCGTTTCATCCAAAAAAATCTGTTGCTGAAGTGCGTCAAATGATTGTGGCAACATATAGTGAGTCGTGTATCAGTGAAAGAACGTGCCGAGAATGGTTCGTGAAATTCAAAAATGGTGATTATGACGTGGAAGACAAGGATCGGCCGGGTCCCGTGAAAAAGTTTGAAGATGCAGCTTTGGAGACTCTGTTGGATGAAGATTCTTGTTAGACACAACAAGCCTCAAACTATGAAAAAAACGGCGGTTTTCTACTTGTACACCTAATATTATTATTATTTAAAATAAGAAAATACTACATTCTTAGGTAAATCATAAAAGTAAAGAAAAAGTGGTATCTTTCGGAAAACTTATGCACTCACCAAAACAAACTTCTGATTCTCCTTGTCCATCAGAAACTCCATACTCTTGTGCGGCCTGCGAACGGACGCGATTGGGACGCAACCTTTGCCTGTAGAGGGTATGACAGCTTCTCCGTCTATATTGTCCATGTCGTAGATAGCCCTGGTCAAATTTAGACGCTTTACAAGGTAAGCCTTGTTCGAAAAGCTAAGAGGGTTGAATTTTATGTCCATAAGCGAACGCGTCTTCCCCGAAATGACCGTTTCATGAGTGTCCAGATTGGTTTCGATCAAACCCATCTTACCTCCCTCTCGCATGGGAGGAACAGCCACCGGAACGGCGGTAACCACAGTGGGCCTGGCCGTGAACATATTCGTCGTTAGTGCGACGCTCACCCGCGATGGTAACTTAGTGCCCCGCATATTTTCCGCATTAAAGTCCGCCGTCAACTGATTACCGACAAGCTTGTACTGTTCCTGTTCGGCACTTAGAAGCAGTTCGGTGGCATTGGCAGCTGTGGTGCCGCTAGCAGCAACTCCCAAAGGCGAAGGTGACTGGTTGCCACTCCGGGTTGGCAGCTTGGGCAGCGGCGGCTTACAGATCACCACTTTTTGCAGGGTTGGGGTCTTGCCTAGGTGCCCCAGCTGACGGCTGCTGTTTACACTGGCAGTGCATGCCTTGCTGTCTTCCAATTGTGGTATTCTCGATGGCTTCAGCGGGATATGCAAACTGTCGCATGACTTGGCGCTTCCGGTGCTATTCTTAATGGGCGAAGCCTTGAGCACCAATATCTGATTAGGCGTCCCCTTCTCGTCACGATGCTCCAGATTCTGTAGCTTTTTTTTTCGGCGCAGAGAGAAGCGGAGACCGTTGGTAATTCTGGAAAGGAAGCCCTTAGGGCCGGGCTGTTTTTCGTCGGCCCTGCCCACAGTCGTGGTTGGCAGCATCTCGCTTGTCTGGGGACTCTCGTTAAGCTCAAGCAGTTGCTGTGAGGCGTACAGAATGTGGAGGGCGCGGTTGGTAGGCGGCTCGCTTAGAATAGGCAGGGTTAGACTCAGGGGTCGTGCGTTCGCTTCATGTGCTGAATTGAACGACAAGTTTGCGACAACGCAAGGTTCAAGACTGACTGCGCTGCTTGTTGCAAGCTCGCTTTCCGAAGTGGTTTTAGCTTCGGTTCTTTGACCGAAGCAATCGGGTGTGGCGATGTTGACTTTATATTCGGTGGTGGCGTTCTCTTCGATCGACGACTCTCTTAAGTGCAGCGCCTGGTTTTGTTCGTAAAGCGAGGAAATGTTTTCATTCTCTTTAGTGTTGTGCACTACAGTAGCGTCCTGCATATCTTCGTCGCTCGAGGGACCCTGCTCGCTGGACTGACACTGATCGTCGTTTGGCTGCCAGCAGTACTTGCTCACCACCGGACAGAAGCTAACTTCCTTGCCAAACGAGTGTCGCGACCCGGCGTGCAGTAGTATACCTAAAGGTTTAGGCAAGTGGTGCATTGAGGTGTGAGCACTATTCACGTAGATTTCGTCCTCCGGCTCCTGCCGGTCGTTGTCACAAGCCGATAGATTTGGCGTGCTGCTTACCAGGCTGCGTTGCTTTAAGGACTGAAACTGCCGCTTCGGCAGTGGTCTTTGCGAGATGACTTGCTGGTGGCACGGAACCGCAATGTTCTGCAAGTCAAAGTGACAGTGCTCAAGGCTCTGAGCGTAATTGGTGCTCAGATTGGTTGGGTCTTGGTCAAAAGTCTTGCCGAAGGACTGTTTGGGGTTACTAGCCGAACCCTTGTGGCGCGGTGGCTGCTTAATAATCAGCTGCACGTGCTGCATTTGGGGCTCCTCGGGTGCATTAGAAATACAGTCCCCTGGCGGCGGCAACGTCTCCTCCTGAATCGGCTTATCCGTCAGTATGGAAATATTTTTGTCATATATCTTGCTGATTTCGTCCAGCAAGAAGTTGTTCTTGCAGATAATCTGTTCGTAGATACCTCCCGACATGTCTTCCGACTTGCTCCTCTTGTGATTTCTCCCTAAATGCTCTTTTGGCGGACAAGCGTCCGTGTAGTCCAGAAGTGTAAGGTTTTGGTAGCTAGCGTTAAGATACCCTGCACTGGCCACACACAATGTTCGCCTGGCACTCTCGCTCACGCTGCAGCTCCTCCGAATACTCTGACATTCAAGGAAAAAGTCGTCGCGGGATTGGTCTCGCGCAAAGAAAAACGCCTCGCTGCAGCTGTTACTCACGCTGCTGTTCGTGTGCTGGTTGTGACGCAGGCGGCGGCGCAGTCCAAGCTGTTGCAGTTCGTTGGGAAAAGAGGTCGTTGTAGGCAAGCTGCTGTCGTTGGAACTGCTGCTCTGGCTACGGAAGCTGTGGCTGCTTGGGCCCAGAACGGAGCTGTAAGGGGAATACAGGTTGCCAATTCGAAATGAGAGTGGACCTCGCGGCTCGCGGATGTCGGGCAAACTGTTACGTAGACAAGTAAACGAGGCGAGAGACGACGTTGATGTGGTCGATCCGGTCGGGGACGGAAGAGGCGAAGACATTTCGGTCTGAGAGCCGGCCCTCTCAGGAAAACTATAAATAGACAACGAAGGAGAGCACGGAGAGCATGGCGTTGCGGCGGTGTCCGTAGTCTGCTCTATTTTGGGCAGACACAAATCAGGAGAGTTTCGGGAATGCGGCGAGCCCTCCTCCAGTAGCACCAGTTCCTCCTCCTCCTCGCTGAGCTTTTCGAAATTCATTGGTGTGCATTTAGACTTTTCTAGCTGCAGAGTTCTGAGCTCACAGTAGCCAGAGACTTCCGATCGATTTTTGGTAGAGTTGGGCGGCACTCGCCGGGTGGCCGTTATAGACTGAATTTTAGTTATCCTTGCATTTCCGCTGCCGAGATACGATCTTTGAAGGCTGTGACTACTGCTATCGCTGGACGAGCTGGAACTGGAGCAGGTCTCCGAGTCGGACTTCAGTTCAGTCTGGTGCGCGCACTTGAAGAACAGTCGCTGCTGGTCCTCAAATTTAAGCTTGTTCAGCTCGTAGTACGTCTGATGCAGACGACCATCGCTAGACTCATATCGCTTTATTAGCGACAGGGACGACGAAGATTCCCTTCTGCTCTCTGGATTGCTGTCACTGGGTCGAGTTGAGGCACCTAGCTCGCAGGTAAAAAGCGAGGGCGAGCTGTTGCCCAAAGTGCTCATACTTTGGTGTTGCTCCTGGAGTGTAAGCTGCCGCTCGAGGGACTCAAACAGCACCAAAGAAGAGCTGCGTGATAGCGAGTGGTAGGAGTCATTGTCCGAATTATAGTCCTCAAAGAAGCCGCCGCGCCGATTGCCTGAGTTGCTTCGCTGGCTCTGGCTTCCACAGCTATCCCGAGCACATGTATCTGGGACCAGAAAGCGCTCTAAACTATTGTGGTACTCGGAATGCTGACGCTGAGGACGGCGCATCAGGACGTTATCCTCAAAACCCTGGCAAGGATCGGTCTCCAAACTATGCCTTGGTCTCTTGGGCGGGCAGGCAAAGTCACGCTCAGACATGGAATCGACATCTTCATGAAAAAGTTTAATTAAACAAGAAAGGAAGCAAACTTCGGCAAGCCAAAGTTCATATACCCTTGCAGCTATTGCAAAAACTTAATATTCTTGAAATCAATCAAATAATGATTTACTTGCGTATATGCTTAAAAACATTCAAGCTATGATGATTCGCAGCTCAATTATTCGATAGTTCCTATGGCAGCTTTATGATATCGTTTTCGATTTTAATAAAATTAAAGGCGTTATTCTGAACTGTCAAATTATTAATAAGAATTTTTTAAAAAAGTACAAAATAGAAAAGTTACATTTAAAAAGAAACATTTTTTATATAGTTTTATAGTTTCCATGGGAGCTATATGATATAGTCGTCCGATTTTGATGAAATTTTAACCGTAATTCTGAAATATTTGACTATTACTATTTGTTGAACAACAAAAAAAAATATTTAAAAACAGCAAAGTTATAATTATTTTTCCGATTGTTCCTATGGGAACTTTATGATATAGTCGTCCGATTTTGATGAAATTTAAACCGTAATTCTGAAATAATTAACCCATTACTGCATGTCGAAGAACTAAAAAAAAAATTAAAAACACCAAAGTTATAATTTTTTTTATTTATTTTTCCGATTGTTCCTATGGGAGCTATATGCTATAGTCGTTCGATCCGGCTCCTTCCGACTTCTATACGACCTGCAATAGAAATACAACTTTTGAGAGACTAGTTTTCGTAGAAACGGACGGACAGACGGACATGGCAAGATCGACTCTCCTAGTGATGCTGATCAAGAACATATATACTTTATAGGGTCTTCTGACTGAAATTAAAATACTCTCTGCAAGGGTATAAAAAGGGAATTGTATATTTATAGCAGCTTACCCTTAATCACATCTATGCGTACCATTGTGCCCGATTCAGACTTAATGGAGCTCCAATAGCTGAAGCGCTGCTCTGGGCAGCCACTCCAGGTGCACTGGCCATGTTCCTCGTCTTCGCTAGTCTCCTCCATGATGGGCTCCAAGATTTGCCGAGAACTGGACAAGTAAACAGCATCTAAAATAAATCGACGGAATACTGTTATTATGTCCCGATTCTTTTCGATTTTTAGGCGTGTTTTTTTATTCTTTTTATACCTTTGCAGAGGGTATTATAATTTCTGTCAGAAGTTTGCAACACAGTGAAGGAGACATCTCCGACACTATAAAGTGTATATATTCTTGATCACCATCACTAGGCGAGTCGTTCTAGCCAGTCCGTCCGTCTGTCAGTCCGTCTGTCCGTCCGTCTGTCCGTCCGTCTGTCCGTCTGTCCGTCTGTCCGTCCGTCTGTCCGTCCGTCTGTCCGTCCGTCTGTCCGTCCGTCTGTCCGTCCGTCTGTCCGTCCGTTTCTACGCAAACTAGTCTCTCAGTTTTAAAGCTATCTGCATGAAACTTTCAAAAAAGTTGTCTTTCTATTGCAGGTAGTATATAAGTCGGAACGAGCCGGATCGGTCGACTTTGCTGTTTTTTAATTTTTTGTTTAGTTCTTCGACTTTTAGTAATGGTTAAATATTTCCGATTTACGGTTTAAATTTCATCAAAATCGGACGACTATAGCATATAGCTCCCATAGGAACAATCGGAAAAATAAATGAAAAAAATTAGAACTTTTCTGTTTTTTAATTTTTTGTTAAGTCCTTCGACACTTAGTAATGGTTAAATATTTCCGATTTACGGTTTAAATTTCATCAAAATCGGACGACTATAGCATATAGCTCCCATAGGAACAATCGGAAAAATAAATGAAAAAAATTATAACTTTTCTGTTTTTTAATTTTTTGTTCAGTTCTTCGACATATAGCAATGGTTAAATATTTCAGAATTATGGTTTAGATTTTATCAAAATCGGACGTCTATATCATATAGCTCCCATAGAAATAATAAAAATATATAAAATAACTATCAAATAATTGGGTTGCTAATCATCATAGCTTCAATGTTTTTAAACATATACGCAGTAAATCATAATTTTAATGTTTTCAAAAATGTTAAATTCTTGCAATAGCTGCAAGGGTATATGAACTTCGGCTTGCCGAAGTTTGCTGTCTTTCTTGTTTTTATTTATTTTTATTAAAAAATACCAAAGAGCTATATGCTGTAGTCGTCCGATTTTGATGAAATTTTAACCGTAATTCTGAAATATTGAACTATTACTATATCTCGAAGAACTAAAAAAAAAATTAAAAAACAACAAAGTTATAAGTTTTTTTTCATTTATTTTTCCGATTGTTCCTATGGGAGCTATATGCTATAGTCGTCCGATTTTTATGAAATTTAAACCGTAATTCTAAAATACATATATATCTCGAAGAACTAAAAACAAAATTAAAAAACACCAAAAATATATTTTTTTAAATTTATTTTTCCGATTGTCCCTATGGGAGCTATATGCTATAGTCGTCCGATCCGGCTCGATCCGACTTATATACTACCTTCAATAAAAAGACAACTTTTGGGAAAGTTTCATGCAGATAGCCTTAAAATTGAGAGACAAGTTTGCGTAGAAACGGACGGACAGACTGACAGACGGACAGACGGACAGACGGACGGACAGACGGACAGACGGTTATGGCTAGATCGACTCGGCTAGTGATGCTGATCAAGAATATATATACTTTATAGGGTCGGAGATGTCTCCTTCACTGCGTTGCAAACTTCTGACTGAAATTATAATACCCTCTGCAAGAGTATAAAAAATTAAAATAAGTTATAATTTTTTATACCCTTGAAGAGGGTCAGAAGTTTGCAACGCAGTGAAGGAGACGTTTCCGACCCTATAAAGTATATATATTCTTGATCAGCATCACTATTAGAGTCGATCTAGCCATGTCCGTATGTCCGTCCGTCTGTCCGTCCGTTTATATGCAAACTAGTCTCTCAGTTTTAAAGCTATCTGCATGAAACTTTCCCAAAAAGTGTCTTTCTATTGCAGGTAGTATATAAGTCGGAACGAGCCGGATCGGACGACTATAGCATATAGCTCCCATAGGAACAATCGGAAAAATAATTGAAAAAAAATTATAACTTTGCTGTTTTTTAATTTTTTGTTTAGTTCTTCGACATATAGCAATGGTTAAATATTTCAGAATTATGGTTTAACTTTCATCAAAATCGGACGACTATAGAATATAGCTCCCATAGGAACAATCGGAAAAATAATTGAAAAAAAATTATAACTTAGCTGTTCTTTAATTTTTTGTTTTGTTCTTCGACATAAAGCAATGGTTAAATATTTCAGAATTATGGTTAAAATTTCATCAAAATCGGACGACTATACAATATAGCTCCCATAGGAACAATCGGAAAAATAATTGAAAAAAATTGTAACTTTGCTGTTTTTTAATTTTTTGTTTAGTTCTTCGACATACAGCAATGGTTAAATATTTCAGAATTATGGTTAAAATTTCATCAAAATCGGACGACTATAGCATATAGCTCCCATAGGAACAATCGGAAAAATAATTGAAAAAAAATTATAACTTTGCTGTTTTTTAATTTTTTTTTTAGTTCTTCGACATATAGCAATGGTTAAATATTTCAGAATTATGGTTTAAATTTCATCAAAATCGGACGACTATATCATATAGCTCCCATACAAACAATAAAAATATATAAAAGAACAATCAAATAATTAAGCTGCAAATCGTCATAGCTTCAATGTTTTTAAACATATACGCAAGTAAATCATAATTTTAATGTTTTCAAAAATATTTAATTCTTGCGATAGCTGCAAGGGTATATGAACTTCGGCTTGCCGAAGTTTGCGTTCTTTCTTGTTTTTTTATATTTTTTTATGATTGTTCCTATGGGAGCTATATGCTATAGTCGTCCGATTTTGATGAAATTTTAACCGTAATTCTGAAATATTTAACTATTACTATATCTCGCAGATATATAACCATTACTATATCTCGAAGAACTAAAAACAAAATTAAAAAACACCAAAGTTATAATTTTTTTTTATTTTTTTATGATTGTTTCTATGGGAGCTATATGCTTTATTCGTCCGATTTTGATGAAATTTAAATCGTAACTCTGAAATATTTAACCATTACTATATCTCGAAGAACTAAAAAAAAAATTAAAAACACCAAAGTTATAATTTTTTTTTTATTTATTTTTTATGATTGTTCCTATGGGAGCTATATGCTATAGTCGTCCGATTTTTATGAAATTTAAACCGTAATTCTAAAATATATATATATCTCGAAGAACTAAAAACAAAATTAAAAAACACCAAAGTTATAATTTTTTTATATTTTTTTTATGATTGTTCCTATGGGAGCTATATGCTATAGTCGTCCGATTTTGATGAAATTTTAACCGTAATTCTGAAATATTTAACTATTACTATATCTCGCAGATCTAAAAAAAAAATTAAAAAACACCAAACAAAAATATTTTTTATACCATTGCAGAGGGTATTATAATTTCAGTCAGAAGTTTGCAACGCAGTGAAGGAGACGTTTCCGACCCTATAAAGTATATATATTCTTGATCAGCATCACTAGTAGAGTCGATCTAGCCATGTCCGTCTGTCCGTCCGTCTGTCCGTCTGTCCGTCCGTTTATATGCAAACTAGTCTCTCAGTTTTAAAGCTATCTGCATGAAACTTTCCCAAAAGGTGTCTTTCTATTGCAGGTAGTATATAAGTCGGAACGAGCCCGATCGGAAGACTATAGCATATAGCTCCCATAGGAACAATCTGAAAAATAAATGAAAAAAATTATAACTTTGCTGTTTTTTAATTTTTTGTTTTGTTCTTCGACGTATAGTAATGGTTAAATATTTCCGATTTACGGTTTAAATTTCATCAAAATCGGACGACTATAGCATATAGCTCCCATAGGAACAATCGGAAAAATAAATGAAAAAAATTATAACTTTGCTGTTTTTTAATTTTTTGTTTAGTCCTTCGACACTTAGTAATGGTTAAATATTTCAGAATTATGGTTTAAATTTCATCAAAATCGGACGACTATAGCATATAGCTCCCATAGGAACAATCGGAAAAATAATTGAAAAAAAATTATAACTTTGCTGTTTTTTAATTTTTTGTTTAGTTCTTCGACGTATAGCAATTGTTAAATATTTCAGAATTATGATTAAAATTTCATCAAAATCGGACGACTATAGCATATAGCTCCCATAGGAACAATCGGAAAAATAATTGAAAAAAAATTATAACTTTGCTGTTTTTTAATTTTTTTTTTTAGTTCTTCGACATATAGCAATGGTTAAATATTTCAGAATTATGGTTTAAATTTCATCAAAATCGGACGACTATATCATATAGCTCCCATACAAATAATAAAAATATATAAAAGAACAATCAAATAATTAAGCTGCAAATCGTCATAGCTTCAATGTTTTTAAACATATACGCAAGTAAATCATAATTTTAATGTTTTCAAAAATATTCAATTCTTGCGATAGCTGCAAGGGTATATGAACTTCGGCTTGCCGAAGTTTGCTTTCTTTCTTGTTTTTAATTTATTTTTCCGATTGTCACTATGGGAGCTATATTCTATAGTCGTCCGATCCGGCTCGATCCGACTTATATACTACCTTCAACAGAAAGACAACTTTTGGGAAAGTTTCATGCAGATAGCTTTAAAATTGAGAGACAAGTTTGCGTAGAAACGGACGGACAGACTGAATGACGGACGGACAGACGGTTATGGCTAGATCGACTCGGCTAGTGATGCTAATCAAGAATATATATACTTTATAGGGTCGGAGATGTCTCCTTCACTGCGTTGCAAACTTCTGACTGAAATTATAATACCCTCTGCAAGAGTATAAAAAATTAAAATAAGTTATAATTTTTTATACCCTTGCAGAGGGTCAGAAGTTTGCAACGCAGTGAAGGAGACGTTTCCGACCCTATAAAGTATATAAATTCTTGATCAGCATCACTAGGAAAATCGATTTAGCCATGTCCGTCTGTCCGTCCGTTTCTACGCAAACTAGTCCCTCAGTTTTTAGCTATACGCATTCCAATTTCTGAAAAAA